AAAGTTATATTCTCGTTCGAATTTAAATAGAGGAAAGTACATGCATTTTTACAATAAAGATTTGTGATGTATCTAAAAAATTCTAAGGTTATCTTCATACAATTTCTTTTTGTTTAAATTAAATTTTAGGAACTACAATATTTATATGGTACTTTAATAATCAAGGTATGATTTCAAAATTTTAAATAAGAAGCCACTTTTATTGGTTTTATTTTTAAATCCGTTTTTTAGTTTTTTATTTTTCAAATTTTCTCACTTTTGGTGATTAAAGATACTAGAATTTCTTCATATTTAATATTTAAATTACACTTTTACATGAAAATATAATATCTAATAATCTAAATAGAATTAAAAAGAAAAAAAAATTGGTTAAAAAAATTAAAACTTCAAACACGTACTGATTTATTATTATTATTTTTATTATTATTATTATTATTATTATTATTATTATTATTATTATTATTATTGAATTTTTTTTTTGGCAAAAATGATACACAACAAATTATTTTCTAAGTGTATTTGAAAGTAAAATTAAAAATTAAAAATTGTTAAATTAAGTGAATTTTAAAAAGGAAATAAAAGGGTAATTAAAAAAAAATAGTGTCAAAGACAAAAAGAAAAAAAATAGGAAAACCAAAATATTTAAAAAAAAGTTTGAAAAAACAAACGAAACCAAACCCTATAAACTTCTCTTGTTTGAAATCATCCTTCACTAATCTCTAATTTTACACAAATTATTTACAAATTCCTTACAATTTTTATGTGAATTTAATAATCTAATTAAAAAATGGTGCATACACACACAAATATAACACTCAACATCTACATTATGACCATCCACATTATATTGTTGCAAAAATTTTTACATATTAATTTTATGATATCTTATATACACTATATGAAATTACAGTTTTGGCAACAAAAAAATTGGTTGCTAAAAGCCAATAGTCGGTCGCCAATACCTTTTGGCGACAAACAAATTCCGTCACCACGTATAGCTTGCTTTTGTGCTCCTTGAAGGGGTTTAGTTTACTCGGACACGATAGCCCTACATTTCGGACTCCTGTGGTTCTGAATTTGGTTTCACAGGTACAATGTGAAACGGAAAGAACACCCATGAGTCCAAATCTGAGAAATCTAAGAAAAATCCATTAATCATCAGAGATGCCAAAATTGGACTACATTGCCAGATTTTAGAGTCGCCACCTAAATATTTTTTTGAAAAATTTAGAAGACCCGTGACTCGTGCCAAAGCCCACTTCTTCGTCATAACCAAAGCGCCTTGGCTCGGGAACTTAGGTATGAGAGGGAAAAGTCATGAATTGAGCACCCCACTCACCCGATCAAAGATTAGCCTCTACTAATCATGATGTGATTTTTATATACATTATATGCTCTTGTTTTGATTTATTATGCTATCATTACTATGTGAAGTCAAACAAATATAGACCACTTTGCTTAATTTGGAACGCTTTAATTTCAATGCAATTTTTTGAAAGAGTTTTTGAAAGGTGCGACTCAAAGAAAATTAGTTTGTATATGCAATAATCAAAATCGTCCTAACTTGGGCAAAATAACCTTCATCCATAGGAATTCAAAGAGTTATTTGAAATAAGCACATAGCCTCATGGTAGTTATGCTCGACATATCAACAATCGCACGCATGCAATATGCTAAAGCAAAAATGCTTACACCAAATATTAGAGGTGAGCCAAAAGAAAGAAAATATTTAGAAAAAATGCATGATCATAAACAATTCAACATGACTAATGTAACTGATACAACCTGCAATTAATAAGCTCAGCTATGAGCATGGCATGTGAGTCAATTCAAGGCATGCTATAAAGCATGTATTCGAGCAAGGAATTTGAAATTGACATTTATTAGTGTGATGAGCCGAACCCTTATGTATGGAAAACGAATGGATGCGAGTCATGAAAAATGCTAAGGAAAATATGATGTTATACAACCACTGTAAGTGGATAAATAAAAAGGAGAAAGAAATGGGGGTTAGAAGACATGCACAAATTATTACAGATTTGCTCTCGTATAAGATGGTCCAAATGTCCCAGTGTCTAACTTAACTACTTATTACAAATCTGAATGAGTAATGAATGAAGAATCTAATTTAGTACAACAATAATATGTGAAGAATGAACAAGGATCCCACGCGTGCCGATGAAGACAGCCTTTAGAAACTGCTCTGTCTGCCTCCTTGGAAACTGTTTTGCTTCACTCTCTGCCACTGCTCTTTATTTTGACACATGTGCTCTATTTACCAAACTTTCGAACCCGACCAGCCCACCATGAGGCCGAGCCCAAACAAATCTGGTTGTGCCTTATTTTTTTGTAAAAGATTGTTTTTGTGCTCTAAGGTGAAAACAGTGTAGACAGAAGTATTCCTAAGCCATGTTTTTCCTTTCTGCTCTTCTCTATGATGGATAAACTCAAGAGAGGAGTGGGTTCGGTTCCCAAATCGTCAATGGTCGCAAGTTGATTGCGTGATGATTTTGGACACGATAGGACAAAAGTTTAATGAATGCCTTTCTATCACGAAGTTAATTTGAGAAAAGAGGTAGACATGCCTCACGAATCATCAAACATCACGAATTAGTATGTGATAACTCTAGAAGCAATGGATTCGGTATAATGCCCGATCGAATCCAACATATTTTATTAATTTCTTTTATGCCAGTTCTAATCGATTTTAAACCAATTTTATTAGCCTTTTTCATCTTACCTCTCTGTTTCTTATCTTTTATTCCATTTTGTCCAAAAGCGATATTTACGTCCACTATGCCCAAAAGCAATAAAGATGAACAAGCATCGACTTAACCTAAGAAATGAGCCTTTCAAGCCCTTTTCTTTAGAGGAAATTATAAAGGAGGAGTCAAACTCATTAACAATAGTCAAACCAGAGAGAGGGTGATAATGACTCTAAATCCAAACCCGATAATAAGCTATAATGAAATCTTCCTTTGTGATTTCCAAGGGTTTAACTAGAAAGTTAATCCCTTTAGAAATAAATGCATCGGTGATAAAGAGGAATGACAAACAAGAGGTTGTGTTTAGCATAAAAGAGATGTAATGCCTTAGTAATGAACCTCCGAAGAGATTAAACCATTAAGCATGAAAGGTCACTTTCTTATGCTTGAACAACAACCTTTTGTTATACACAACCCTTTAATCAAAAATAAGCAAAGAATGGAGGGTGGTTGCATGGACGATTATGCAAAGTTGATTATTACAAAAGTGAGACTATTTGCATGCAAACTAGATAAATAAAGCTATCAACTCAAATGAGTCGGTGTCAAAGACCTAAACAACCAAATCCATGATGACTTACAACACTAGAAACATGATAGTCAAAGTACAAAATAATTAAATAAGTTAAATAGCCTCTAAAAGTCAAAAAATAGTACCTAAAATCATCCCAAAATAGTACAAAAAAAGAGCAAAAATAAGAGGACACAAAGTTGGTAAGCAAGCCTAAGAAGGAATGGCTAACCCCTCCACTTTTGGGACTTCTAAATCAGAATTTTGAGCATTTTAAAACTCTGAAAATTAGTGTTGAAATCAAAGAAAAGAGTGGGAAAACAAAGGGTATGAGCTATGGGATAAGGCTCAAGAAAGGGTGATTCGCCCTTCTACCTTCGGTAGCTCTTTAACCTCAAGTTGCAACACTTGGAATTCATCCAAAATAGTATGAAAACACAAGAAAAATATAGACAAAGACTGAAATGAAAGCAAGGAAGAAAGTGGCAAGCTGATAGCTCTTGTAGAGAGGGTGCTCTTGTTGTAAACCAAACTTGATCCCAAAGCACTCTCAAGCTTGAATTATGGTACCAAAGTCTCAACCAAAGCTCCAAGTCCAAGCTCTAATGGTGTATATCGTTTGTATATATAGTTCAAAGATGATATGAGAGCACAAAGGTGACTTACAAGAGAAGTTGGAGCTCTCAAATGTCTTTTTAACTCTTTGAAATTTTTCTAACCCTCAAAATAGAGGTGAGGCCTCATATTTATAGAATTTGAGGTAAATAGGTCAAAATTATCTTCAAAAACACAACGGCTGGTGAATTCTCGCCAGCTGTACTATTTATCGCTAATGAAACCTGGTCGGGCCACAAAACACACGGCCAGGCCCAAAAATGAAAGGTCGGGTCTTAAAAGGCTCCATGGACTATTTTTCATTGAAACCCGACTAGGTCTAAACAAGCCACAGTTAGATCTAAACAAACCTTGCTTTCAAGCACGACTTCAAATGTGTATATCTCTCATCCGGATTCGGTTTTAGGTAACTCTTGAGTCTAAATTGAAGCCCCCGAAGTCTACTTTCCAATAGTGGGGCCTCACATCTAAATTCTAAGTGTACAAAGAAATATGCCTAATTTAGTGAAAGTTGTTCATTTCTTTCTTAACGGTTTGATGCTTAAACTTTTCCTAAACTAGTTTTCTTCCATCCCCTCCTATTTCCTTCAACTTGAAACCAATAAAGGTGATTTTAAAGATTTTTCAAAGAGTTCACCTCCCTTCCATTTATTTCCACTCTGTCCTTTCTTGTTTTACTGAAAAGTGTAATATTTTAATCGACATGCGAGCCTCAGAATATCTTAGAAACATTTCAACAAATATTTTGAATAGAGGGTTTTAAGGTCTACAATAGTTTGACCAAAATAGGGTATAAGGTTTGGGATTAGAATCCGAAACCAAATTCTTTACTGAAGATTTCCACGATTTGCATAATGTAGCTTTCATCATCGAGTGCTCAGAATAAAGCACCCAAGTCTTAAGGACGGTCAAAAATTGGGTGTTTACTATTGCCCCTCTTTGGAAAAGCTCAAATACTCATGAAATGATGCCAGTGAATGTCAAAGCCCGAAGACGACCCATTTTGATAAGGCTGTATGACCTAGGCTGTCACGCCCCAAACTTGCCCCTAAAAGTTCGGGCATGACCTATGCAGATACGGACACATGACCTGATATACATAATATACGGGGCCTGAACGGAAGCATTTAATATTACAAAGTAACATAGAATAACATCCATTGAGCTAAAACTAACATGCCAGGATCACATACGTGAGAGCCATTTATCTATATACATACCCATACATATAAATGAGCGTATATCCGAACATTGGTAAAGAAAGGGGTCATATAGATACATTTTAACCTTAAGTAAATAATTAAAGTGCATGACAAAATCTTAACAAAACTTCACATAAATGCATGGGCTTGGTCTGGGAGTCTAGGCATACTGAGGTTGGCAATTGAAGGGTAAGCATCAAGGGTTAAGACGGACTCCCAAAGTAATTACCTAGAGAACAGACAAAACACAAAGTGAGTGAAGCTCAGTGAATAATAGTATATAAATGATTCAATATTCAACTTAATCATAATGCATATCAATGCGTATGTAAATGTGGATATCATATAATTAATCTGATTCTATACTAATTTTAGAATGGCCTTAGGCCCAATCTTGAAACATAATGGCTTTAAGCCTTTGAATGGATTGGCGATAGACCTTGAACATATTAACATTAAGCTTTTACACATGTTGGCATATAGCCCTTGAACATTTGGCATGAAGCCCTTAAACATGTTGGCATATAGCCCTTGAACATTTGGCATGAAGCCCTTGAAAAGTTGGCATAAAGCCCTTGTACATATGGCATGAAGCCCTAGGTGGCTCGTACAGATTCTAGATGAGACCACGGTATTATTACCCCCGGGTAAGGGCCTTGTGCTAAGGATGCCATGAATACTTTTACATATATGGATAATCATTCATTAATTCATAGCGTCACATATCATAAAATAGAGCATTTCTTGGTATATTGTGTCATTACCGTGCGCTTAACAAAATAGAATAATTCACATTCTTATGTGGGTCACATAATGATGTTCAACTTTTGCATTCATGTCGTAGATTCTGAATAACTTCGAGTTCATATGTAACATAACAAAATAACTTCAAATTCATATGGATTCACATAACTTTCCAATTATTCTGATTCTTCGAAGATGAACACAAATTCTCTTTATTCATTAAGAAATGACATGGTTCACTTGAGCTGTTAATCAGTAACATACCCCTTTCTTTAATCGTTCATATATGTTAACATGGTTGACCTGCAATTAACAGAGTGCTAATGGTAACCATTGCATCATTCACATGAGTTAATGCAGTTAACTTAAGTTTAACAGAACGTTCTTGATAATTATTAACGAAAGGTAAACACATTTTACCGATTGAATGATTCTAGAGATACCGGAATACCATAGTTCCATAATCCTCATACGTTCTATTTGTTCGTCATGAATCACTATAGCTATCTTGCAAATAACAAAAATTTAGTATTCATTGTCAACAGTAAACAGAATGGACTGCTCAATAATGCCTCTAGATTTTCCAATCAATATATTGTTAACTTAATTACTTGCAAGGGATAGAATGTTAACAATGAGAATCATTAACAATACTTGAACGTGCGACTATAGTACTACTACTCACAGCGGTAGGTCTCTGATAGCAATGGAACGATGTCCTCGTCTTGACTTACAAATACAATGCATATAACAGATTATGAGAATAAAACCAATCTCTTTTTATTCTTCACTCAATAGCTATGGTGGTTCTAGACTCATTAGTCCTCCATAGGTTATAATTCATTCCTCATAAGATAGGAGGAATCGATAGGAGAAAGGTTCAGACGAAGAAACGGTACAAACTGGTAAACAGAAAGTGAACAATCGTCACTAATTTGGACATAACTATTTTTTTATTTAGAATTTGGAAGTGAGACCACCACCATTGGAAACTAGACTTCCGGGTCTTGATTTTAGGCTCAAGAATCACTCAAAAAGGAGTCCAGATGCAAAAGATATGCTTGTTCAAAGTTGGTTGGACAGAGCTGTCCCCGCACGTGCGGGAAAACAGTGCCGCATGTGCGGCCCTGGACAGTTTGCAGTCCGAAAATGGCAGAAAATTTGGGACTTCTCATTTTCAAAATCAAACCTTAATTACATGTAAATCAAAGCCCAAAACCCTTTAATACTTGACCAATTTCACATTATTATTCTCCATCAAACATCATAACCTCAAAATAAACAAATATAATGACTTTAATTCTTCAATTAACCAACTCTTAAGGAATCAAGGTTCAATTCATGAAAAGAGTTCATCTAAACTTATATCTATCAACCAAAACTCAATTAGGAGGTTTCTCTTCATTTGAGATCATGAATTTAAACTAGTAATAGATCAATCTTAAGGGGTTAAGTTGATTTCACATACCTAGAGCCAATCTCTTGAAGTAATTCCATCAATTTTCCCATCTTTCCTCTTCATTCTCAAGCTCTTCCTTCCTTCTTCTCCTTGAGTTCTCTATCTCTCCCTCTCTCACGTGGCTCCCCCTTTCCTCTAGATATTTTTTTTTATTCTAAGAGATGAGTCCATCCACTCATAAGGCACCCATAATATAAGTATACACATACACACCAACATAACACAATAGAGAGAGCCAAACGTGGCCTTACGATTCGTACGAAATAAAATTTCAATTAAACTTCCCAGATAACTCTAAAAATTATGAGGATCATAAATATGTCCCCTGTTCTGGTTTCTGAAGCCTCTAATGCCTTCAATTTGCAGTATGAAGTTAACTACCCAAACGTGCATTAACGAATCAGACAAATTAGATTTCCAATTAATTGTCCCAAATAGTTCCAAAAATTCCCATTAACATATCCAAGTACTCAATTTTGATTTCTGTACCCATATAGGTCGGTAATTTCAATTTTAAATCCGTAACTCAATAGATAATGCTTCAATTCCAAAAGATATAATTAAATTAAAACATCTCATCTCATAGTTAAATACCAATGATTTCTTATATGCATTTTGGGGTCCTTACATAGGCAAACGAACAAAATGTAGATGCATTGGTTGAACCCAAGGGTTGCTTACGTATCCCTTTGCAAGTAATCAAACCAGCATAGTTAAGGGGCTGGATACAGATGATATGCACTGCAATAAAATAATCAAACCACAAGCAATGCAAAATGCACGACGAAAAGGTGCCGAAACCCTCAGACCAAAATTCTTGCGGAATAGGTGCATACACATGCAGAACTATGCCTTTTGCAAAAACAGTGCAAGTAATTGGATGGTATGATATAAGTGAGGAATGATCTGTTCGGGAAAGATGTATTGGGAAATAACAATGCAATGGAATGATAATGATCCTCAACGCATTTATGCGAAAAGGATAGATGCAACAAGATAAAGTATGATGTAATAGATGCAATAGACAAAATAGATAGGGGGCGCATGCCAAACAATAGTTTACCTAGAAAAGGCGTGGACACAAAACAAACCTCGTCTAACACAGAAAAGGTGTCAGAACCCTCAGACCACAATTCTTGCAGAATAGGTGCGTACACATGCAGAGCTATGCTTCAATGCGAGAAAGGTATGAGCACATGCCAAACTAAACTTAACATGGAAAGAATGCAAGCAATGAAATGATATGATGTAATAGATGTAATGGATAGCGTAGTAGATGCATGTGATAGATGCTATATGCAATGTGATAGAGGTAATAGATAATAATAGATATGATGTAGCAGCTAGGAAGTGGTGCGTAGAAAGTACCTTACATGGGCAATTGGCGATGACTCACCTTATACTGTTTGGGGATCTTCAACTTGTTCTTGGTTTGAAGACTTCTTTCTGCATCTTGCGCTTTCAAACCCCAAGTACTACTTTTCTCTCTGGCTATGTTTGCAACTTTCCTTTTTCTCCAGCGAGGTGACAGATTACGTTGGTTCAGTATCCAGAATTGAGGCGGCTACAAACTACCTTAACCTATGGGGATGCCATATAGATTTCATGCCAAGGATACACCCTTGGGTATTTAAACTAACGACAGGCTGCAGCCCGGGTCACTCTGCGTCTCCCTCTCGTGGTATGAGCACCCGCCTCCTCTTCTTTACGAACATCCGTCAAGGGTGGTATCAAGTGTGTCAGGATGAAGTCTTCATAGTCGATCTGTAGGGCCACCATGAACTGGATGACCTCATTGATAGATAGGCTCTCTATAGACCGCATGGACTCTGGCGGAGCTATCGGGATAACTGGGTCTGGCACACCCATAATCTGGCGTATGAAGCGCTCACCGAAGAACCAGGCCCAGTAGACCGAAACCTCGAGCAGAATGTGGTAGTGGGAGATGGCCCAGGCGCCGACAAACTAGTCCTGCACCCCCTTGGGCATCAAGCCCCATGGCTGCCACGTGATCTGCTAGTAGAAGTTGTATAGGTCATTAGTTGTTATCAGTTGTTAAATGTGTAAAGTAAGCAGTTTCAAAGAAAATGATTGCGTGTTTAGATTACCTCATGGGCGCCTACTGTGTCGAAGTACCGGCAAAAGAAAGTGAAAGGCGCACAAATCCTGCAACGAATCTGGCCATCGTATATCCACGAGTAGGGCACCGTTAACGGAAGCTCCACTACAGGCTCTGGGGCGAGAGTCAGGAAGTATGCGTATACTCCTAGCTGCAGGGAAAATGCAGTGGTATGTGATCAGTATAGTACCGAACAGATACAAAAAGTGCGGAACAGAAAGCATAGCGTATGAATAGTGTTTTAGTAGATACAGAAATGTGAAGTAGAAAGCATGTATTTGTTGACTCCCCTTTTTCCATGGTTTGAAAAGAGGGCCCTCACAATTCAAACTCCCGCGGTACTGAATCTAGTCTCACAAGTGCAATGTGAACTAATAAACACCAAAGAGTCCAAATCCGTCAAACTTTTTTGGAAAATCGATTTTAAATCAAAGAATGCCAAAATTGGACTGCTTTTCCAGATACAGTGCCACCACCTAATTATTTTGTTTATAGGGAAATTTAGGAAACCCTGACTCGTGCCGAAGGCGACGTGTCCGTCATCACCAAAGTTACCTCGGCTCGGGAACTTAGGTACGAGAGGGGAAGGTCACGAATTGAGCACCCCCGCTCACCCGACCAATAGATCGGCCTCTTCTAATCATGATATGAAACTTTATAAACATTACATTTTCTTGTTCTGATTATTAAACTAGCTTTACTATGTGACGCACACAAGGAAGTATAGACTAGTCGCAAGACTTGGAACAATTTAACTCATGTTTGTTTGCAAAAATGGTTTGAATTTGCCACCTCAAGTGGGCTTAAGGATGAGGTTTTGCCACCAAACATAGTGGGCTTAAAACATAATTTTCCACAACAACGCGGGCATAAAATGCACATTTGTTGAATCGTCCAATTCAAACAACAAGCCTTCAACCACAAGCATTCACGCAGCTTAGCATTTAAGCACATAGCCTTATGGCAAGCATGCTAATTATGGCAATATGGTAATCACACTCATGCAAGTATGCTAAAGCATAAAAACTTACCAGGTACTCTAAGCCGAAACAGAAACTAGTTAGAAAGATGCATGATCCTAACTATACAAGAAGCCTAATGCAACATAGGCAATATGCAATTTAATAGGCTCGGCTACTAATATGGCATATGAATCGATTTGATAGCATGCGGTTAAACTCGTATTCAAAGAATGTATTGAAATGGCAATGCAGTTTGAATGATGCACCAAGCCTCGGTGCATGCAAGACAAATGAATGGATGCAGGCATGCGATATGCTAATTAAAACATGACCCTAATCCACCCATCAAAAGCGATTAAATGGAAGGGAGAAAGACGTAGGGTTGGAAAACATACACAGATGAACGCATACTTATTACAACATTACGCCCTCACGAAGGAGGTTCCGAATGAATAAGCTAATTAACTAGCTACGCTAATTAAGCTAACTAATTATTACAAACCGAAACTGATTAACTATTCTAGTTAACTAATTATTACAAACCGAAAACGAATAACTAGTTAAAATAACTAATTACTAAAAACACTTAATTAGCTGCAACTAATTAATTACAACACATGCTTGATCTAACGCTAATTAAGCTAACTAGCTAATCCCAGGAAGCGAGGAATTCATGCATGCCTGATCCTCCACCCGAAAGAGCCACTGGTTTGCTATTGCAAGCCTCTATTTGCACATATGATCATTGAATATTTTGCCACGGAGGATTAAACCATTAAGTATAAGCCTCAACCTCAAGCTTAAACAACCCTAAGGGTGAAACAACCCCCAAAACAAATGAAAAAGTGAAGAAATAAGGGAGGTAGTAGAGATTGTATGTGCTGAAAATGAGTGATAAAGGCACTAAAAACATGCAACCGACTCACACCAATGAAGGTTAAAGCCTTAAAACACTAAACTAGTGAAGGAACTAACTCTACAACTATGAAAAATATGACACAAACAAGCTAACTAGCCCAAAACAGAGCTAAAACAGGTTATTTCAGAAGTAAAACATGCTAGACTTGAGCTAAGTTAAGCTAGAAAAACATACTAACATGTGAAGCTAACTGGGCATGCAAACAAGACATGAGGAGGAGAGGCTAGCCCCCCAATTTTGGATTTC